CCTCTAGACCAATGATTTAACTCCAATCATAACATGCCTTTCAGTTCCTTTTCTTCCTCGAGCTTTATGTAACCGGGGTATAGAATAACGAAATGGTTAAATTGTCCTTTGCAGCTATTGATGGTGACATGAATTAAGATGATGATTGTGATTGAGATAGATTTCTATATTCTTTATTATATATGATATGCTCAGGCTCATATACCTCGAGCCAAGCAACCAGATTATGTTCCTCTAGATCTAGATTCATCAGAGTAATTACTTACTCAGTAAAATTCTCCTAGTCTCAGTTGCGTGTTTAGGATTTTGACTAGGTTCCTAGTAACTAGTCAATGATGTTTCTCCTATTACTGAGACATAGTAATAGTTAATTCAACAAGTACAAACGATTAATCGTGTTTACACATGACGTTGTAATATAGTCATGATCGGCTGAATAATATCAACTCATGAATGAATCATGTCTCTACATGACACAGCCCGTAACAGCGGATCATGAAATTCAAATCAAAGAAATCTCCTAACTTTTATTGGAAAATAGTGATAATCTCAATTGCCTTATCATGGCACAGAATACCTATGAAAACATTTAGAGGATGTGGTGGTTCTTCAAAATAGCCAACTCATACCATCCGCTTCCTCTTCTAAAAAGAACAACAGTATATCGGCCTCTCGTAGACGCGCGGACTGAGTTAGTTTAGACAATATGTATCTAACCAAACTATCTTTGACTCATTATAGGTCTAGGAATAAAGAAATTTATCCACGAAAACTTGGTTCGACAGTAGAATTATCTCTGCTTTATAAATTTGGGCTATAAATCTATACCAAGCTGTTTTCGGGGAGATTTAGAGCCGATCTAGAGATTTGCAGCAGATCTACTACCCATCAATATAACTATGATGTATCATCCTAGAGATGGTTTAAAACTTCGATCAAAGTTTGGTAATTAGTCGACTAAGGCAAGTGAATCAGAGTGAGTCGAGAGCTCAGAAATGAAGATACTCTGAACCTTCAACATGATTCACCAGCGAACGAAAGCCGAAACCCTCTCAGATTTATCTTCCGCGGCTATAAAAGTGATAGATTGCATTGAGTTAGAGATTCAATCACTAAATAGGATCCACCCCATACTTTGAGACTGAATGGCGCTTGAGAAGAGTGATATTGGCCTATTATTGGCCAAGGAGTTTAGCTGCATAGATTTGACGACTGTACGAGTCAATAACTTCCATCATCTTCCTCCTAAACACACACGGCGAATAAACTTCAATCTTTTTTATATTTGCATTGAATCAACCGACTACTTTCACTGTCTGGATTTTCCTGAAAGTTTCTCTTGGTTTTATTCATCTCGCAAATCCTCACGTTATTATCTGAATTCTCTAAGACCTTCATACAAACTGCATTAGATGATATACAGATCTATATAAGATATGATCAGTGTAACGACATCACTGACATTTGTATGTGAATGGGATGGATGATAATGTGGAATATTCTATAAAGTAAATAGCCAAGCCATGTGTATAAAGATTATCCTCTTTCGCGTAGATAGTGATCAATTGATGTTACGTATAACAGAAGTTCTATAAACTTATTCATCTTACTCTATATATATTCTCTCTAAAAGCTTTATTACTTACCTTACAAGATGAATACTCTCTCTACTACATGACTGCTCAAACAAATTACTATATCAAATACCGACTCATCTATTGAAACATCCCAGAACATTATTTAAAAAATGTTCTGATGAAGACACAAAAAGACGTCCTATACTCTGTAACCACCACGAACTTTGAAGATGTGGTTTCACACAGGCCTTGAATTTACTCATACATTGGCCAAAAGTAACCCTAACTCAATTTTTAAAGAGCCACAATCAATAAAATACGTACAATATTTTGCCAGTGTCTCAGCTGGAGCAATTCACTTGAGCTAGAGCAGCCGCATGCCGGCGATGATCCCGTTATTAATTGGGCTCCAACGGATAGATGTGACACTAAGGTAGAAATTCAGGTGGACTGTAAAGATTTGAAAATTCCGAGATAGAAATATTGGCGGAATCTCACCATAATGCGAAACTGAGTGAATAAAATGTATGCTAAGCGAAGGAGACCTTTGAGAGAAACCGGCTGAGGCGACCAACGAAAAAAATGGTTTATGGATGAGATGCGTGGATGTTGAGGCCGGGCTATGTACGATAGCGGGAAAAAGAAAGTTCTTGGTGCGAATCAAGGTCAAGTAGCCAGACGCATGGTGGACGCATCAGACGAATAATTTTCGTTTAGGTGCGTGATAACTAGGCTCTCTGGGCCGTCGCAGCCAACGCGCCTTACTTTTGGGTGAATTCTGGATTGGTCCAACCGTGCAGAAAGGATGAGGCTCCCGTGATTACAGTTAGCTTATCCAATCCAGGCCTTCCTCATCCCTGCTCAAACTTCCAGAGGATTGTGGAGGTGGCCAGTTGTCTAGCACGTTTGAATGAATGAAGTGAAGGTAACACGACTTTAAAGTGTAAATAAATTGAAAAGTTCAGGGGGTTTTTAGCAAAAAGGTCTCCTCTCACATAAATATTAGAGTTCGTAGACACCTGTACAGGCCTCATGGCGCCAAGTCGGGCTAAATGAAATCAAATTCAAAAATAAAATGAATGAATGAATTTTTATTTGTGACGAGCACAAACCCTGCACTCAAAGTGCATAACACGGAGACGACTAGCTTTCTCGACGACTATATACGATGATAACTCAGTTTGACATTTGGATCACTCATGTAGTGGGTGCATTCGCTGATACCACTCGAGACCTTTGTGCCAGCGACTTTCAACCTTCCCTCAACCATTCATATCCACCAGAGAGAAGACAGAAAAAACCTTTGGCCACCCTGACATGCCTTTGCCATCTTGTATATAGCCACCGCGCGAGAAATTGCCTCATAGTCTTCCCTTTCTCGAGTGAGGTAGGTGTCCAGGCTACCCAGACTTTAATTCGGGAAGATGACGGCCAGGAGGCGGACCAAGACACCTTCCATCGTTGCCTATTTTTAGAGTGTCGGTTGCACTATCCAAAATCGTTGCTTCTGCGCTCACAGAAAATCTTAAGTCAAATACACTCGAAAAATGTGCGTCCCAGCATGCCCATTTGTGACCTCTTCGCTCGTTCGTCCCACGTCCCAGTTGCTTGTCCTCCCTCAAGATGTGAAGCCCCATTAGAGCAATGGTCTCCCATATACCAAGACCCGAGCTTTGTCGTTCATGAGTTAATTTCCTCCTCGCGGGTATACATAGCATCATATATGTGTAGTGAGAGATAGCCGGTTTTTTATGAGGCAAATGCCCGATTGCAATTGGAGTAACGCCATTATCGGTATTCGAGGCGAGGTGGTGTAGTAAGATTGAGGTGGACGACTCGTGTGAGAATGATAGATCCGACATTGACGAAAAGTCATCGATTTTAGATCTGCTTGTGATTGCTTTCGACTTTGATTCTGATGCGATTCTTCTTGGCTATCCCAGATATGCAGGGCATTATGAGCGATAACAATTCCACCACTGGAAGCTCTTGGATTCGTCGTTGCCGGCCACCTAGCACGTTTGTTGTTTAATGTACTACTCGAGTCTTTGACTGTCTAGCATATTGGGCTCCTCTCTGATCCTGGCCAAACTCTATGCAGTGCCCCAATTCTCTTTTATTAGTCGAAAGATCATTGATACAATGCCCATGATGTAAAGCCATTCAGCTCAGTATTTGCCCATAGCATTCAGCAGCGTTTTCATGAAATCTTCTACCCAAAAAAAATAAAAATGGTAGCAATGGAAAGTGCGTGCGCGGGAAAAAGTCTCAAAAAACCTGCAGCCCCAGTCAGGCGAGGCCTAGACACAGGGACCACATGAGGTGCGCATATCCATCTATATCTCCCTTCTTTGTAACAGTCGAGACCGACTTGATCCAATCCACCATCTCTGTATCGGGTGCTGGGTACGCTTCGGAAACTCATTGGATGATTTTTCCTCTATGATCAAGGGTTGGTGACGAGTAGGGCTCCGACCCTACCATCTGATCTGATCGTGGTTAGCTTCATGATAGTGGTGATAGGGGAATGTGTTGAGAGATGAAGACGATACAGACGGCGAAAGCGATTGGGAATCCTCGTCGAAGTGAGGACTTTGTTACTCAATCTCGGCTCTGCAGACTCTACAGTGCGAGCTGAAGGCTCGAAAGGGACACCACTGATAGGTATTGAGTTTTTGTCCCGCTTGCTTAGCACGTAAATATGCAGCCAATGTGATAGATGAGTCACAAAATACTGCGGACCCGTGAATCTATAACCATTCGGGTCAGAGTCACACAAGTTGAACATGATTCTAACAACTAAAATGTTTAACTTGGTAACACTGTCAGATCATGAGTGGGTCTGAACCACCATTGCTAGATCGTAAAATTTTCATATTTGTATTACCATTACATCTTTGATTATACAAAGAAATAAAGGCCCTTTCAGCCTGTAGACTAGTAGAATGAATGCCTTCAATCTTGTACTCCCTTCCACATAATTTCGAGATTTTGCAGCGGTCAGCCCTCCATAAATATTCGTTTGCACAGAAAATTATTGGTATCAATGTTACATCAATATCCCTACTTTCTAGCCAATGAAACAATTGCCATTTTCAAGTGTGCATCTTCAAAGAAAATATTAAGATCCGATCTGCAGGATCCTCCTGCGCCAGTGATGTTATATCCCACTGTCGGTACTTTCTGTTAATCATATAATCCAATTATCACTTTCCCACTTCATGGGATGGGTACAGTCTCAAAAAGCTTCCTTTTAACAGCCGATAATCTCCTAAAACATCCTCAATCAAATCATCTCCGCTAACTTCTGTTTGACTCTGTGATATTTCACTTACGCTTAGCTCTTCATTCATTAAGAGTTATTAGATACTCTCCTAGTCACGCCAATTCTACCCACTTTATACAATCCTCTTAGATTTCGACATGACGCTCACTTCAGTCGATGCCCCTGGGAATAAAGTTCAAGGGCCTCAACTTACAAGACTGCGCGCAGACGTCGCCCGTCTGTTAGGCCGTTCCAATCATAGATTCCCCGGTGCAATGCCCGCGAGTCTTTGTCGTAAGCACATACACGAGCTGCAGGAGGAAGAGTAAGTGAACTCCATTACTCTTCCACCATCATTTAAGTAACAAAGTATAGTTACTTGGTTTGTGAGAAATCAGATGGAATGCGCCATCTCCTCTATTTCACCCAAGACCGTTATGGAAACGAGTCCCAGTATTTCATTAACAGAAAAAACGAGTTCTGGGCTGTACCCCGAGCAACGTTTTTCTGTCCAGCACCTCGTGAAAGACGAGGCTTTCATATCGACACCCTTGTCGATGGTGAGCTGGTCATGGAAAAGACGGCTTCCGGTGAGCTCGTGGCCAAATATTTGGCTTTTGATTGTTTAGTTCTTGACGGAGAAAGACTGATGAGATGGACGCTCGATCAAAGATTGTCACAACTTCGACAAGAACTTTACAATCCATATTGGCGTGCATTTAAGGAGTCGCACAGACGGTTTGGGCCCCAGCACTTCTCCATGGAATTGAAGAAAATGGTCAGCTCGTATGCTGTCGAGCACATATTTAAGGAGATAATACCGTCGCTTGCACATGGTAATGATGGTCTGATTTTCACCTGCCGAAAGTCAGGGTATAAATTTGGGTCCGATCCAAAGATTCTCAAGTGGAAACCGGAAACTGAAAATTCCATCGATTTTCGCTTGCGCCTTGAGTTTCCGCGGACTCAGCCCAATAACACTGGCTCCAGATTTGGCAAAGCGAAGCATTGCGTTAAACTCGAAACTCTTCCCATCTTTTATTTGCTCATCAATGCTGGAGAGAAAGAAGGCGACGTACAATTTTCCACCATGCATGTTGAAATGGATGAATGGGAAGCATTTAAGGCAGAAACAAAGCCAGTCAATAATCGCATTGTCGAATGCTTCATGGACGAGAAACAGCGCTGGCGTTACAAGCGGTTTCGCGACGATAAGATCAATGCCAATTACACTAGCACAGTGGATAGTGTGATTGAAAATATCACAGAACGGGTCACCAGAGAAGACCTTGAGAAGGCGGCATCGAATATTCGAAGAAAATGGATGCAGCGGGCCGATCGAGAGCGCAGAAGTCAGGCTGAAAACACTATCTCACGGCCGATGAGACAACGGAGATGATATCCAGAGCCTTGTCGTGAAACTAATTCAAAATACCATGATCACATGCGTAGACAACGGGGGTTATGACGAGTATTTTAGTGGTAAAATGATGCATGGTGTTTACATTGGTTCACACTATTATTTTTATAGATCCATTTTGGTTTGCGCTCCGGAACTAGTAGTTAAGGCGTGTGGTAATTGGCTTCGAATGCAATTCCTAGCTTCAGTTTTAGTCGACTAAATTCACATTCATGCTCTTCTGCTTATATAAAAACCCTAGAACCTTTCCGTAAGAAGCACTAGTGTGCTTCAAATGAATAAATAAAAATTGAAGAGTCATTATCCTGCATATTGGATAACCACATAATTGCTTGATTGATTTAAGTCTAAGACTCAACAGAGTCTTAGACTATATAAGACTTCTTATGGACCTACCTTAACAGCTTCTTAAGTTCTAAGTTAATTTCTAATTTGAATTTACAACTATATTCCAGTTGACCATGAAGGTCAAGCCCTATATTAACACATGAAGTTCTTGATAGAAAACTATTCATGAATTCTTCTTAAAGTAGACCTTAAGTTTCTTAGATGTATAATGGCTCAGGACTTAGTAGTTGAATATGGAGTCAGAATGGGAAACCAATAAAGTTTTGTCATTACTAGAAAACTGTAAATATATCTGTTACAACTTGCACGGTTTGGCATGTATGTCATGTTAAGTTCTTTGAAGACGAAAACTCGATGCCTACCAGTGGTGTCCCTTTCGAGCCTTCAGCTCGCACTGTAGAGTCTGCAGAGCTGAGATTGAGTAACACCTTCATCAATTCGATGAGGATTCCCATTCGCTTTCGCCGTCTGTATCGTCTTCATCTCTCAACACATTCCCCTACCACCATTATCATGAAGCTAACCACGATCAGATCAGATGGTAGGGTTGAAGACCTTCTCGTCACCAACACTTAATCTTGGAGGAGAAGCTATCCGATGAGTTCCGGAGCGTAGCCAGCACCCGACACGGAGATGGTGGATTGGATCAAGTCGGCCTCGACTGTTACAAAGAAGGGAGATGTGTTACGGGCTGTCCCTGAAAGATAGCCCAGCCTCGTTCAAATACACTAGCCACGTGACCTTTAGTTGAGTTTCTCCAGACTCGAATCACTTGGTTAATTATGCTGAGGCTGGGTAAAAGATCACTCAGTAGCAAAAGAATACGTGTCAGGAAACTGGATCACTCGTGGCTGCAGCGGGCGTATTTAGTGCAGAGGGCTTCCTGTAGTAAATCTCCATAGAAAAATATTAACTCTTTGTGGTACTGTTTACGTGCGGTGTCCGCAATTCTCCTTGCCCTTATCAAGATGTAGATTGATATGCGCGCTTCATATGGTACCGGTGTTTAGGCCTCGCCTGGTTCGCGCTGCAGGTTTTTTAAAACGTTTTTCCGCGCACGCAGTTTTCACTGCTACCATTTTCAATTTGATTGGGTAGAAGATTTCATGAAAACGCTACTGAAATCCACGGGCATATACTGAGCTGAATGGCTACCCATTACTGTTAACATACTAGATATTTTCTTTCGTAACAAAATAGGACAGAAGCCTCTCGGAATCTGAGAGTGAGATATACTCAGAGCCAAGTTTAGTCAAATTTCGCATTACCAAAGAAGTTGGTCCACGAGGCAATGATTCAAGATATTTCACCATGTCAATATTTCACCCCCAACGAGATCGATTCCTACTTATGTCTCATCGAGTCTGTAAGTGAGACTAAGTATATCCTCGGCCCAATGACCACACCTTTTGTCGACTTTCTCTGGTCACAGCTGGCCACTCAATACACACTCACGCCAATATTTAAATGCAACAGAGGAAACAAAGCACAGCGCACAAATATGGGAGGTAGCTCTTTGGGATGGACGTTTGAGAAATCAGGACAAGTTTGCAAGACTATGCATAGTATGAATATAATTTGGACGAGTGTGTGATTTTGAATTTTGGCAAGGAGTTTTACAAATTGAGCTTTGTGCGCTAAGACTTTGATTGAGAGACTGCAGCTGACACTATAATAACAAGCTGACGATGGAGGGTGTTCTCTAGTATAGTTTATGTAGCCTGGGTGTTATAATAACGAGGTCATGAGGGAACAGAGGAATACCTGAAATGGATGCAGATGATTATGGATGCGCGGATATAATTGATGTGGCTGTAGTGAGAAGATGCGTTGGAATGGACAGTAGTGAGATAGTTAGTTTCAATCTATCTGCGGAAGTACTGCTTCCTTATATATACATTCAGTACCCCAGTCCTGATCACGCACTCACCACAGGTGCTTCCTACTTCTGTCACAGTAACCACTTCCATAGCCCCTGCCAATATCTCCTGTCATAACATACTATTGACACTGGTTGCTAGTGTGGAACTCCCGGGATTGCAGAGCTATACACCGTCGTCACATTATATGCTGTTGCACCTCGGTAGCCATCAGAGTGAAGTGCACCTCAGTCTAAATGCATTGTTCCACCAGGCAACGCTCGGATGTAGGGATGTTGCCAGAGTGATTAGGTACTTAGCTGTGCTATCAGTGCCCTAATCTCATCTAGCTTACTGCGGCCGAGTGTCCGATTGCCGCAATGGTGGGAGCCCGATGAGGCTCGATCGGAGCTGACCCGAGGTATTCACAACACTGGGCAACTACTTCACTTGGGAAGGAGACATCTAAGATCACATTTCGCGCGGAGGAAAGATCATGGATGATGGAGGCACGTTTGGATAACTCAGGGTTTTTGAGACGTCCCCTGGGTGGGTAGTCACGGATGAGGGCTGGCTTGGAGTGAAGAAAAAGCCGCCATAATTTTGCAGTGGTTCTTGCAAATGAAATCTAAGTCATGAGTGCTCTTCTTTCAAATTGAGTCATCTAATCTGTACTTTTTCTCTGATATTTAGTCATAGATAGATAGCTGCATACACAATTCAAATCTAATGCAAAAAACGGGTGCTGCCAAAGCGGTATTTCAACTGCAGTTATTTGGATCACAAGCAGGCGTCTTGTCTGAAGATAGCTCGATGCAATGAGTGTGCTAGTGCTCTTATTTTTAAATCATTTATTGTGAATACAGCTATCTAGCTACGACACCTAGCCGGTGCTAAAATCCCTGAATATTCATGGGAGAATTGACTAGACACCCCATAATCCTTACCGTTCCCTTCCGACTCACACATATTTACACTAATCCGAATTATCACAGTGACAAGATCCCAGATCATCAGATCAGCATGTAGACAGCAGGGCGGAGACATGGGTCAAAGAGGTGGTATTCAGGCTAAAGGGTGCAATCCTACATTATGCATGAGATAGGTACATAACCGCTCGGCCAAAAGGCCAGACCAGAATCATAGAACACTAGATTCTGGTTATCTCCACATATATAGATTATACAGAAGGCAATCCTGACACAGATCTCCAACATGCCTCCGGGGCCTGCCAAATCATCGCGACCTATTTGCCTTCAAAGAACTGTTGATAGAGCAAATACTGTTTTACTTGGTTTATGAAATGGGGAACGTACACTTGCGTTTGACGGCTAAAAGGATGTGTTATTGTTGTGACTAGACCTACATAGCTACAGTGCACAGATCAAGTTATGATGGTCACGCAACTGCATGCGTTTGCTCTGTTTGCTCCTGCTTTGTTAAGTTAGTATCATTAGTAAACAATAGTCTAGGGACTTTAAGTAGAGAGCTTTCCTCCACAGTAGATAGAGTAAGAAATTCAGTCTTTCCTCATTCTACAGAGATCATTCTCCACTCCACTTCTTGACCTGTCCGGCCCAGCAGCCCATCTGTGATCACTAGTAGCGAGCTCCCACAAATTGTATGTACACCCGAATCATAGACCTATCACAACAGTTATCGAGAGTGTAATATGAATGACTCTATGGATGTGTGTGTTATAATTGACAGTGGGAAAACCTCTCTTTTCATACCCCATCAACTTGTTTACCTGCCAATCATATGCTTTCAATCAGATTAACCTAAATTTAAATGTTGTATCATGATGTCTAAGTTTATGTGACGGTCTTAAAGTGGCGTTTTATTCAAACTGAACTCAGAGCTAGATACAAATTAAAATCTTAAAGTAACGAGCAGAGACATGACTGAAAGCCTCCTATTTATTTACAAGACTATGATCTCGTTCCCTCATTTCATACCATTCTCAGAATAGATCATGACCTGTCCTCCGACAAACACCAGCATCTCCGTCTATTTTAATTCAGCTTCATTTTAATGTTTGTAATTTTAGTTATTAAAATAGTTATGATGCATGTGGCTTAGATGACTCACAACTGGTGTTCGAGTCGTCCTGTCTGCAATCTAAATTTTTCATTTAAGAATAGATTTGCATGAACTAGGCCAAGGCCTATACTTGGGTCTAATGAGTCTGAAGGGGTTCATGACATGTATGATGTTTAATATGATTGGAAGAGTTCAAGCCTTATTTGTTAGGCAGTAGCCTAATGATAACCAGGTATGAGCCTGTGACAGTTGAATAGTTTACAAGCAAGTAAACTGGGCTGATGCATCAAGGGCAATAACTTAGTCATGCAAATGTTACAACTAGCAACTAGACAGATGGCCAATTTCATACGCACAACTCCCTTGTTGTTTCACTTTCTTTATTGCCCATGATAATGTAACAGCCAATTTCAGAACCATGTATGGAACGGAGATTTGAGCAGTTTGCATGGGAAATCTAATAGTCAGTCTATATTTGGAATTAGTAGGATACCCAAGATGTATATAGTATCTAGATAGATTCCTCATGGTAGACGAAAATCAATTCAATCAACTCTGAGAGAGATTCATATTAGTATAACTTTGCTTAACATATGCCTACTATGCTTACTCATTCAGTTTGCCTTGCCTCAGCAAATGTGCCAAACATGTCATGTGAGTTGTTCATGCCCAAGACATCTTGATGACTGTCAAACTCGAGGGTGCCAAAGGAAGCTCTCAAGGAGCAGT